TGAGGACTGCATTTCAAAGCCAGCCTAGGCAGGATCTGACATGAGATTCTTCTCTACAATTAATCACCTTGAGCTGAAGAGCTGAGGGACAGCGCCCAGGCCCAGAGTTCAGGCCCCATGACCGGACCCAAAAAAAAAAAAAAAAAAAAAAGAAGGCCCAGTTCATGCTTGTAATCCTAGCTACTCAAGAAGCTAAGATCTGAGAATTATGGTTCAAAGCCAGCCCAGGATGGAAAGACCCTGTAACTCTTATTTCCAATTAACTACCAAAAAGTTGAACGTGGAGCTGTGGTTCAAATGGTGGAGTGCTAGCCTTGAGCAAAAAAAATAAATAACAAAGCTCAAGGACAGCAGCAGGCCTAGAGTTCAAGCCCTAGAATTGGCGCCAACCCCCCCCCAAAAAAACTAATAAGACGGGGTGCAGTGGTCAGATGAGCATCTGCTGAGCTGCACAAAAACTCTGAAAAGGTTTCTTCTGGTGAACTGTTTTTATTTTTGTTTTGGTGGAGCTGGGAACTGAACTCAGGCCCTTCTATCTACCAGGCAAAATACTCTTATTTCTGATCATCTTCTGCCCACAGTTTAGATTGTGTGGGGTGTGTTCACTGTGTCATGGTGCTGATTATTTCTTGCATGCTTCTCTTTTCTCTGTCTCCTGTAGACTTCGGCTGGAACCTCTCTCTCCAGGAAAGGTGGACCGTGTTCAAGGTTTGGATAGCGCTAGGGGTAGTGTCATGTAGGCGGGGCCTGAGTCAGGCCTTCTACTTACCCCTTCCTACTCTCCCAGGGACTGCTGTCCTACATCATCCCCTTGGTGCTGGTCTACTTTGCTGAGTACTTCATCAACCAGGGCCTTGTGAGTGAGGGTTGCAGAGAGGGGTGGAAATAGCTATCGGGCTGGGGACTCATACGTCCCCATCCATGTCCCTGTCTGTTCTTTGCTGCAGTTCGAGCTCCTGTTTTTCCAGAACACATCCCTGAGTCACCCTCAGCAGTACCGCTGGTGAGAGCACTGGGCTGGGAGCACCCCTTGATGATGGGCATCTGGGGCGACCAAGTAGGTGCCTGCCTGGAGGCACGTCTGCCTAGTCCCTGCCCCTCCCCCAGGTACCAGATGCTGTACCAGGCTGGCGTATTTGTCTCACGTTCTTCTCTCCGCTGCTGTCACATCCGTTTGACCTGGATCCTGGCCCTGCTGCAAGTACGGGATCCTTACCCCCCTCTGCCCCTCACTCCACCCCCATCTGGGCTCCCAACTTCCCCAGATGCCACTCGCTTCTAACCCGTGGCAGGAAGTATTCAGCATTCTAAGCAGGGCTCTATGTAAAATATACAACTCCTAGCCATTCAGCCCCAGCAGGCAAATCTCAGCTTCGCTACTTGGTAGCTGGGTAACTCAGGGCAGATCTCTGAACCTTTCTGAGCTTCAAGATGTCCTCAGCTATCTATCAGATATGGGGACTGGGGATGTGGCTCTGTGGGAGAGAGCACTTTTCTCACCATGTGGGAGGCTGAAGGTTTAAACTCTAGCATTACAAAAAATAAACCAGGGGCTGGGAAGGTGGCTCAGTGGTAGAGCACTTGCCTTGCATGCATGAGGCCCTGGGTTCGATTCCTCAGCACCACATAAGCAAAAAGAAAAAAGCTGGAAGTGGCGCTGTGGCTCAAGTGGTAGAGCGCTAGCCTTGAGCGGAAGAGCTGAGGGACAGCGCCCAGGCCCAGAATTCAGGCCCCACGACCGGACCCCCCCCCCAAAAAAAAAAGAACCAGATGTGAGAAGCATCTGTTTTTCAGTGTAGTTGGAAGAAATAGCAATGACCCAGGTACCAGTGGCTCATGCTTATAGCTCTAGCTACTCAAGAGGCTAAGATCTGAGTTAGCAGTAGTGATGATTGAACCTAGGACTTCAAGCCTACCAGGCACATGCTCTAGTACTTGAGCCAAGTCCCCAGCCCTGGAAGCACTTGCGTTGTGTGTGTGTGTGCCTTTTGTTTTTGTTTTTTGTCCATCATGGGGCTTGAACTCTGGGGGCCTGGGTGCTGTCCCTCAGCTCTTCAGTTCAAGGCTAACACTCTACCACTTGAACCACAGTGCCACTTCGGTTTTCTAGTGGTTTAGTGGAGGTAAGAGTCTCACAGTCTTTCCTGCCCGGGCTGGCTTTGAACCGCGATCCTCAGATCTCAGCCTCCTGAGTAGCTAGGATGATAGTCTCGAGCCACCGGTGCCCAGCTTGGAAGCACTTGTTTAATGGTTGACTTGTCCAAGATGCTGATCTCTCTAATTGGTAGTATTGGAGTTTGAACTCAGGGCCTCACACTAGGCAGGCAATCTACTATTTGAATCATATCTCCTACCTTTTTTGCTTTTTTTTTTTTCAGACTCTTACATTTTTGCCCATGGACCACTATTCTGCTATCTATGCCTTCTGCCTACCTAAGTCTACAAACACATTCAGATGCCTAGCCTATTTGTTAAGATAGGATTTCATTACCTTTTTGTCAGGGCTGGTCTTGTATTGTGATCTTCCTAATATCTCCTTCCTGAGTAGCTGGATAACAGGCATAAACCAGTGTGCCAGGCCAACCTCAGTTCTCTTGATGCTGAGGACAGATATTCTGTGAATGGGGTATCCTTTGCATGGTGGGCTGCTTAGCAGCATGCATCTCTGGCCTCTATCTACTAGATGCCAGTGGCATATCACCAGTTGTGACAACCTAGCAGGCCTCCAGATGCTACCAGATGTTCCCTGGGCCAGTAGTCTCAGTCTGGTAAAATGGGAGGGGATACTCCTGGAAAGAAGGAAATGAGACACCTTCTCCCCCCCCCCCGCCCACCCCCCAGAGTGGCTTCCACTCAGGGAACCACCCTGATCCATGCTGAGAGCCATCCCAAGTAAGGGGAAGTGGAAGAAGATTCCAGGCCTTCCCATGATGGGAGGTGGGGAGGAGCTCCATGGAGAAGGGAGCTGAGGGTGGGGTACAGCAAGACCTTTTATAGATCACAGGCTCGGTGGGTCAGCTTGTCAGCTCCTTCACCAGTGTCTCTCACACTAGTGGGGTGAGACTTCAGCCTCCCTTTCAGATCCCACAGCCTCTCCTGTCTTTGTCTCCACAGTGCCTCAATCTGGCCTTCCTGCTGGCAGACATATTTCTGAGGTTCCTGCCCAGCATCTACATTGTCTTTCTGATTGTTGTGTATGAAGGGCTGCTGGGGGGCGCGGCCTACGTGAACACCTTCCACAACATTGCTGTAGAGGTCAGCATGCATGCACATACACATACACGATACTGAACTGGCCCAGGGCTGGGGGCAGACTGTCTGGGGGTGGTTAATTTGGGAGTGACCGGGCAGGGATCTTTTGGGTTCAAGACTCCTTATTCCTGCTCTCTGCCCTCCCTTCCCAGACAAGTGACAAGCATCGGGAATTTGCCATGGCCGCCGCGTGTATCTCTGACACCTTGGGGATCTCCCTGTCAGGGGCCCTGGCCATACCTGTGCATAATTTCCTCTGCCGCCTCCCATAACACTCAAGCTGCTCGGAATATCACCATGGAATCCAGGCCCACCGTAGAACTCAGGGCCTTCCCTACCAGACTAGGGGTGGGTCAGGAAGTACTTTCAATAAATGATTATTTTATCAGCTAAGTTCTTGTGCTGGTTTTCTCTGGGAAAAAAATTACTGTAAAAGTTGTACAAGCCCACTTTGGAATTATACATGCCTGTATATGGACATACACCATATACACACATATATACATAGATTTATTTATGAGTACAAAAAAAGCTTTTCAGCATCTTTCTGCCCAGTCTTTTGAGGGAGGGATTTTGTTTTGTCAAGAAAGTCTCATTTTGTAGCCCAGGCTGACATACAGTGATTTCAGGCACGTGCCACCAGGCCCAGCTTTCTGTCCAGTCTTTTGCATCTATTTACTTATTTCACATATTGTATGCAACAATCTATAAACATTTTCCCCAACATGATCATGTCAAAGACACAAAGAAGCTGGGTACTCATAGCTCACGTCTGTAATCCTAGCTAGGTAGGTGGCTGAGATCTGAGGATCAATTCAAAGCCAGCCCAGGCATTAAAATCCCTATGATACTCTTATCTCCAATAAACTACTCAAAAAAAGCTGGAAGTGGTGCTGTGGCAGCTCAAGTGATAGAGTGCTAGCCTTGAGCAAAAGAAGCTCAAGAGCTGGGCACTGTGGCTCAAGCCTATAATCCTTGTTACTCTGGAGGCTGAGATCTGAGGATCACAGTTCAAATCCAGCTCAGGCAGAAAGTCCGTAAGACTCATCTCCAATTAACCACCAGAAAACCAGAAGTGGCTCTGTGGCTCAAGGTTTAGAGCACTTGCTTTGAAGAGCTCAGGAACAGTGCCTAGGGTGAGTTCAAGCCCCAGGACTATCAAAAAAAAATTGGGCTGGGAAGGTGGCTCAGTGGTAGAGCGCTTGCCTTGCATGCATGAGGCCCTGGGTTCAATTCCTCAGCACCACATAAGCAGAAAAAATAAAGCTGGAAGAGCACTGTGGCTCAAGTAGTAGAGTGCTAGCCTTGAGCTGAAGAGCTGAGGGACAGTGCCCAGGCCTAGAGTTCAGTCCCCAGGACTGGACCCCCCCAAAAAAAATTGCAATAGGTAAGCAACCAGTATTATGGTGCTTATTACTATCAGGAATTAACAAGTGTTTTTGGAATAATGAATATTACTATACATACACTGCTCTCTGTGTATGCATACCAGTCCTGGGGCTGGAAATTTTTTGTTCATTGCTAATCTATCACTTGAGCCACATCTCCAGTTCTGAGGTTTTTAATTTTATCAATTTTTTATTTATTTTTGCCAGGCCTGGGGCTTGAAGTCAGGGCCCAGGCACTGTCCCTGAGCTGCTTTTCTTCATGGTAGCACGCTACCACTTGAGCCACAGTGCCACTTCTGGCTTTTTCTGTTTATGTAGTACTGAGAAATTGAACCCAGGGATTCATGCATGCTAGACAAGCACTCTACCACTAAACTACATTCCCAACCCAAGTTCTGAGTTTTTTGGTGGATAAAAGTCTCATGGACTTTTCTGCCCAGGCTGGCTTTGAATTGGGATCCTCTGATCTCAGCATCCTGAGTAGCAAGGATTAGAGGTGTGAGCCACCAGCTCCTGGATAAAGATAACTTTTAAAAAGCGAGTGGCTCAGGCCTATAATCCTAGCTACTCAGGAGGCTGAGATCTTAGAATTGCTTTGTGAGTATAGCTCAGGCAAAAAAAAAACCCAAAACAAACGTGAGACGTCTCCAATTAGCTACCAAAAGCCTGGAGGTTTGGCTCAAGTGGAAGAGTGCTAATCTTTAATGAAAAAGCCAAGGGACAGCACCCAGGCCCTGAGTTCCAAGTCCCAGTAGTGATACAAAGGAAAAGAGGGGTTGGGAAATGTGGCTTAGTGGTAGAATGCTTGCCTAGCATGCATGAAGTCCTGGGTTCCATTCCTCAATACCACAAACGTAGAAAAAGCTGGAAGTGGCACTGTGCGCTAGCCTTGAACAAAAGCAGCTCAGGGACAGTGCCCAGGCCCTGAGTTCAAGCCCCAGGACTGGCAAAAAAGAAAAAGAAAGAAAAATCCCAACCCCCATTAGCAGCACTTGTTGCTGGCCTTTAAGATTCTGATTCTACAGTTCGGGGAGCCTAGCGTTGTTTGCCTTGGCTTTGCTTTATTTTGTCTTCTTTTACTTTATATAAAGTCTTACTATATATACTAGGGATTGATCTCCCAACTATCAACCCTGCCGTGGCAGCCTTCCGGCTGCAGGATGACAGATGTGCAAGCACCCAAGGTATCAGGCTTTACAAAGTCACTTTCCAAGGCGCTTCTGAACCCGGTGGTTCCCGCCCCGCCCCGTGTGGCGCGAAGGCCTCTGGGAGTTGTAGTTACCCAGCGTAGTTCACCAGCACGTCCCGGAAGTGACGTAGGACCGCCCCTTTCCGTCTCTCGGCGTTTCCGTTTGACGGTGTGACTCGAGCCCCGCTGGTAGGTATTTCGGGGGTCCTGGTGCTTGGAGGAGGGGTACCCGGGTCGGAGGACAGGCAGGGACCACGAGGAGTCGGGAGGTGGCGGGCCGGACCCCTGCTCGCGGCCGGTGACGCCCGGGCGCTTCCGCAGGTCTGCGTCGGGCCGTCGCCCCTCAGCGCCGTCGCCATGTCGCGGTTTTTCACCACCGGTTCGGACAGCGAGTCTGAGTCGTCCCTGTCCGGAGAGGAGCTGGTCACCAAGCCCGTCGGGGGCAACTACGGCAAGCAGTGAGTTGGGGGATGCGCTGGCGGCGGGATCGGGGCCCGAGGACCCGGGCGGGGCCGAGGGACACCCCCTCGGCGGATCTCCTGCGGATCGCGGGAGTCCGCCATCGCGGACCGGGAACCCCGGAGGGGTTTCCACCTGGTCTAGACTGCGGCATCAGCTTCTGGCCCTGCGGTCTGTGAGCCTTCCCCATCCCTCTCCTTGCCTCCCCCTTCCTCGCTGCCTAGTAACCCCTCAAACCAGAGCTCTTCCCGCCAAGAACTCCCCACTGACCTCGCGGTTCACACACGATCCCCTAAATGCTTGGCTAGTATCTGCGAGTCCCCGGATGTGGCTCCCAACTCCAGCCAACCCGCTCAGCCCTTAAAGCATCTGTAGCATTCCTGTTGTTCACCTCCACTGAAATACCCTTGTCTATTTGCAGATGAAATTTTTTATCTTTGAAACAGTACAGTATATATACACACATATATATACACATACAGACATACATATGTATATATGTATATATATATCCATCACAGAAATGTAAGCTAACTTAAAAATGACTTCATGTCATTACCATAAATAGAAAGCCAGTATCACTTGGTAGAAAATAGGAAATAGCTCAAACGATTAATAGACTGTTAAGAAAGGAATGGTTGTGAGTCTGTGGTCTGGTCTCACTAAAGAAAAACACCAGCAATAGAGGTGGTAAATCCAGGAGTTCTGTTTCTGCTTTTATTTTCTGGTTTTGGGTGCTTTGTTATGTTTTTCTTGTGTACTGGTCCTGGGGCTTGGACTCAGAGCTTTATGCTCTCTTGGCTTTTTTACTCAAGGCTGGTACTCTACCACTTTAGTCACTGCTCTACTTCTAAAAGTTTTTGCTGGTTAATTGGAGTTAAGAGTCCTGCAGACTTTTCTGCCCAGGCTAGTTTTGAAATGGAGTTTGCAGCGAGGATGCAGGTGTGTGCCACTGGCATCCATCATTGGGACTTTCATTATTGGTAGCCTCCTACTTTGGAAATGTTTCTTCCTGGAATTTAGTATAGGTATCAGCTCCTCAAAGCCTTTCCCATTGGCTATACCTAAATTGCCCCCTTTCTCTACTTATTTTTCTTCAGTACTTATATAGTCATGTGAGCCTTTATTATTTCATTTTTATTTTTGTTTTTATTTTTTGTCGGTCATGGGGCCTGAACTCTGCACTCTACCACTTGCGCCACAGCGCCACTTCCAGCTTCTGCTTATGTGGTGCTGAGGAATTGAACCCAGGGCCTCATGCATGCAAGGCAAGCACTCTACCACTGAGCCACCTTCTGTTTTATGTGGTACTGAAGAATTAAACCTAGGGCTTTGTGCATGGGAACCAAGCACTCTTCCACAAAGCCACAGTCCCAGTCCCCCTCATTTATTTTTGAAAGGGTAAATATACTTACTGTTGCATATGCTACAAATGTTTGACAGTAGGCCATTACTGAAGTAGATTTAGGAGATGAAGTTGTTAATTGTGAGGTTATGGGGAGTTGATTCAGAGGGAAATGAGTATAATGTGGATGATGTAAATGCCTCAGTTCCAAGAAGAGAAGTACTGAAACTAGGAGAAGAGGTTGATGCTCTCTGTTCCCTCCAAATAGGCCATTGTTACTGAGCGAGGATGAGGAAGATACCAAGAGAGTTGTCCGAAGTGCCAAGGACAAGAGGTAAGGCTTGGAGGAGGTATCGTGATAGACTCTGGGAAACAATGGTGAGTTTTCTCTGGTGAGCTTGTCCAATGTGATGTTGGACTTCCGTCTCAGGTTTGAGGAACTGACCAACCTCATTCGGACCATTCGCAATGCCATGAAGATTCGGGATGTTACCAAGTGCCTGGAAGAGTTTGAGCTCCTGGGAAAAGCGTATGGGAAGGCCAAAAGTATTGTGGACAAGGAAGGTGTTCCTCGGTTCTATATCCGTATCTTGGCTGACCTCGAGGACTACCTTAATGAGGTATAATGCCTGAGGGTCTGACTGAGCTACTAATCTATATTAGGGGTCATGTCTTCTCTTAGTTCTTTACCTACTTTATCTAGAGTGTTGCCTAGAATATAGGAAATCAAGTGAAGCAAGGAAGAGGGAACCATTTACTTATTTTTATACTAATATCCGGGCTCCAACTCAGGGCCTTGCCCACTTACCTGGCTTATTTCTCTCAAGATTGGCCCTCTACCACTTGAGCTAAACTTCTACTTCTGGCTTTTTGCTGGTTAATTGGAGATAATAGTATCTCCGATTTGTCTGCTTGAGCTGATTCCAAACCTCCATCCTCAGATCTCAGCCTCCCATTATAGCTGTGAGCCACCCGAACTCTCCTGGGAAACTTTTTGTTTTTGGTCAGT